CCGGAGCAGGCCTCTGCAGCCTCTTCCTCCTCCTCCCTGTTAGCCGGTTTACTGCTCATTAGTGGTACTACCAGGAGGTGGGCAGGGGAAACATAAAGGAGCTGAAATTCAAACCGGGCCATCTTATTCCAGTGAGGTACCTCCCATAAAACCAGGCAGGATTTCATCCACCAAGATCTCCCTGGACCCCTGACCTGGGGAGGTCGAAGCAGCCCAGAGGGTGAGGAGCTGCAGAATCTCAGGGCCCGGGGCATCAGGAGCCTCTGTTTCTAATCTTCACGAGCTCTTGAATATTCTCTGTATTTCCTGCCTTTTCAAAGTTAACAGGCACTCTAGCCATGAGCTGGCCCATCCGGTCAAGGCCATGGACCCAGAGAGCATAAGTGCTGGGGTTGCCCTTGGTATCGAACGAAGCACTCTCCTTGTCCCTCTGAAGGCCCCCGCACAATGGCAAGTTCACAAAGGAAGTGAGCCTTGCCAGACTGTGTTAGCAAATTCCCATAAATACTTGGGCCAGGGTAGTACTGCTTATGTAAAATGCTTCCCCATTGAGAGATGCTGCTTTATTTACATTCTTCACAACCCATTCATAAAAAGGAGGCCCTTTAATGTTGGGGTTGTTCATATAATGCTCCATAAACCCAGCAGCTTCGGCTGGCAGCCTTAGTTCAACACAGGCTACTTCTCAGCTCCAGAGACTTTTTCCCTTAAGATTTTTTTTTTTCTTTAATGACTCACCTTGCAACAGGGCGCTGAGGCCAGATGTTGCCAAAGCAAGGCCAAGAGGAATAAGAACAGATAAAATGAAAACACACAGGTCCTCCCGAATGCTGGGATAGAGAGGTTGGAAGAGACGAAAATCAATAAATTGAAAATCCCCATACAACTTCAATGTGAAGTATGTATGTTGGGAGGTTGAATTCCTTCCAGGTTTACTGAAACTTCCTTTATGGATGTCAAAACCGTCCCCAACTTATACCTCTACCTACCAGAGAGATGGTGGGGAGGGAATTTTTTTAACCCCCAAAGAAAAGAAAGCCGAGGGCTCATTCTGGTCTTTAATTCGCATTGTGGATGAATAAAAAAACATTTTCTCTGCCTCTTCACAGACGTGTTCCAGGGGCTGCTGGATCCAAGAGGGGCACAACCGGCTCAGGGTCATGAAACTCGGGCAGACACCAGAAAGAGAGGAAAGACTGTGTTCTAGGACGCACAGCCAAACGGCCTGAGCAGCTGAGGAGAGAGCCCGGGAGATGCATTCTGAGGTAGCCTGTCTCCTGCCACAGTGGAAGCAAGGAGGAGAGAAGTAGTAGGGATTTTTTTTAATTGACGGGAGCGGTCTGCATTGCCATGGCAACTGTGAGGGGTGGCCTTCCCGCTTGGAAGGGAAATGCTGGCCCATTAATCATCAAACTGGGGCACAAAAGGGAGGTTTGGGGGAAAGGGGATGGATGCAGAATTTATTTTTTCACTGTCTCGAGTCAAACCAGTCCCCAGTTCTCTTTCCCATTTCCCCCATGGTCCAAGGTCTGATGGTAAACAAAAACGGAAGTTCCAAGAGAGTTGGGATCATAGCTTTCCCCTCGATGGGGTGGGTCCAGTGTGGGGCTGATCGTGCCTCTGATGTCAGTGACAAACACCTCTTCCAATGCCAGTCCCCAAAGTCCTGTCCACGGGCCAGACCCAGGAATCTTTTTCTTTTCTGTTCTCAAAACCGTGTTTTCTCCCTCATTTACACCCAGGATTGAGAAGAGATAAAACATATGGATTCGTTTAGCATGGACAACAAGGAAAATTGCCTAAGAGCAGCAAAGCCGGGTGCAGAGAATGGCCTGGCGGGGTAGGAGCAAAACAGCACTACAGCCCTTTTCAGTGCGTGTCTATATGGTGTCATGTGAGCAATCCAGAGGACGGACTCTCCACCAGCCGAAGTATCAGAAGCAACAGCTAAGTTCCATTTGTTCCCCACGCTAAAGCACCCCGAACATGCCCCATCTATGTGCCTTTGACAAAATAGGTTGGAAACCACCAAGGACTCCATACTGAGCATTTCTTGGGAAGAAGGGAAGGTTTCCCCTGCTCCCAATCAACTAAGCAGCCAACTGCATTTATTCATTCAACAAAACAGCATGCAGAGCAGTATACCAGAGATCCTAAAATATTCTCTCTCTCTCTCTCACACACACCACTTTAACACTCATAATGTCCCTGTCTTTAAGAAACCTCCAACCTACAAAACCACTCGAGAAGACACCATGTTATAAAATCCAGGGTCACAATCTCAGAGGCAAGCAATGGCGGCCTGGAGGGGCCTGACTGACAAAGATGAGTAGGGTTCAGGTGGGAGGAAAGGAAGGCAAGAGGCTCCTCACTGGGGACAACCAGAGAAAGCAGCAGAAGCAAAGATGCGGGGAGAGAACTGTGCCCCGCACGGCTAGGGGGGAGCCTAGGGGGTCCATCTAGGGTCAGGCTGCAGGAAAAGAAGAACCACTGAAAGTGTGTGGACAGGGGAATGACATGGGCGAAGGAGTGCTTTCGGAAGAATGATCTAGCAGCTGTGTACAGACTGGATCAGAAGGGCCAGAGGAAGCAGGAGGGAAAAGGCGGCCAGGACAACACAGGCCTGCCATGGGGACAGAAGAGCAACAGAAAGGAAGGAAAGGAGGGAAATAGGAAAAACAGAGAAACTCTTCACTGGAGTAAACTCTCCAGAGCAAAGCCTCCTAAACACCTGACCAGACTGACTTGAGTCTCCGGCCAGGTAAGAGCCTGTCAAAGAGGCAATTCCCCTTTATATTCCAGTGGCAAGACCAGGTCATCCCCATCTGACTGGCACCAAAAGAAATCACATACCGTGGAGCCCTAAAGGAGGTAAGAAGGCCTTGAAATTCATCATCCTCTGAATCTTAGACATACAATTAAATCCTCTCAGAACAAGCGTTAGTCTCCTGCATGAGATAATACCTCCCTTTCCCACAAGCCTCAACTCCACCCAGGCTGGGGTATAGACCCTTCCGAGGAGGGGGTCGGAGGGTGGCCGTGAATTAATTCCCTGCCCATACTAAGCAAGGCTGGCACGCAACTTTCCCAGGATGGGCCTCAGCTGGGAGAAGCTCCTAACCAACAGCTACCTGAGGTGGGACTTGAACCCAGAATCTCAGCAAAAGTGGACATTCAAGAACAGCTTCAGTCCCCCTGTCTTTGTGATCCGAACTCTTCAAAGAGGTATAGGGAACCTTGAGGAGCCCTGAGAGTTCTGAGTGGGTTTTTACAAATGGAAAACAGCATCCAGCTTAGAAATGATCACTGGTGGGGATAGAGGCACTCAAGAGCTTAAGCCACTGGTTCCCAAGTATCCTCTAGCTAGCCAACGACAGTGATGTCCCTCCAGGGCCCTTTTCTCCTTTTTTCAGAAGACATAGGAGTGGAGAGGGTAGTGGGAAAGTCTCTCGGGTGCCACAAAGGAAGAAGAATGGAAACCTTTTCATTTAATCATTAAATTCCTGCCTGGATTTATAAACTCCAGCTTCTCATTATCCTTTGTAGGTATCTTCTTGGCTAAAGAAAAGTGCTGAAAACAGTTGAGGATGGCTTGCTGGAGCACATTTGGGGGGAATCTCCTAGTCTCCACTCCAACTGGTCTTCCACCCTCTTAAGACTGTCGACAATGGGCACTAGATGTCCCAGATGGGACTAAATCTCTCCTCATGGGCAGACTCTGCTTGCTGAAACCCCTCATTCCTAGTAGGCTCTAGAGTGGCTCACCAGACTGTCGCCTAACCCGGTCACCACCGGCCAGGCCCACCGTGTGCACAACCCCACCTCTGCCCCTCTGCTCCAGCCGGGTCGACCCCACTCTTCCCAGGACCGGGAGGTGATCAGCGGCTGGAGCGGTGAACCATTGCCGCAGCTTCTCCCGGCGGGCACCCTGGCCCCCGCAATCCCTGGGGCACAGTCCGGCCCTGCCGCCCGCCCCTCGGGGTGGGTGGCTCGGACCTGCTCCCCTCCCCGACGCCACCACCTGCGCCCGCTCAGGCGCCGCCTTTGTCCGGCGCTTCACCGCGGAGCGGGCCCCTCGGGCCCGACCTGACCTGGCCCCCGGCCCCGGAGAAGAGGCGGAGAGGCGGGCAGGGCCAGACCAGGCCGGGCCGCGAGCACCGGGTCCCGCTGTCACTTGGAGGCGGTCTGACAACTTCGATCCCCCCCGCCCCACCTCGGACTCGGCCGCCGCTCCGCACGGTCTCCGCGGGGCCTCCCGCGGCCCACGCTCGCTTCTCGAACCGGTTCCCTTCCGTCTTCGGCGCCTCTCTTCCTTCCAGCCCGATAGGGTCGGGTCTACATTACCCCCGGCCCCGGTGTGGCCCCCAGCCCCAGCCCCCCATCCAGCAATAACCGGTCAGCTCCCAGCGCGGGAGGGCGCCCCCCACCCTGAGCGGGCGATCCCGCGGCGCCGCCCCCGGCCGCGGCCCCTTGCCTCGGGGACCGCGATGGGGGAGGGGGCGGGGAGGGGGCGCGGCGGGGGGGGGCGGGGGCCTTGCCGCCCGCGCACTCGGAGGCGAGCCCGCTCCACCGCGGCGAGGAAACGACCGGCGTCCTCCCGCCCTCCGCGGCCCGGGACGCCCGCGCCGCCGCCGCCCGGCCGAGCTGCCACCCTGCGGCCGCCACCCACCCCGCCCCCAGCCTGAGAGGCGGGCGGCCCCCGGGGGCTGTCACCTCGAGGCGCGCTGCGCTCCCCGATGGCGGGACCGTGGCGCCGGACCCGTGGAGAGGGAGGCGGCGCGAGCAGGCGGGCGGCCGCACCTGCTTCGCGTCGTCCGTCCGTCCGTCCCTTCCCGGGCTGGCGGGGGCGGCGGCGCGGCGCGCTCGGTGGGGCGCGCTGACGGGCGGCCGGTCCTCTCCCCTCCACTCGCCTACCTCCCTTGCTGGCTCCCTCTCGCCTGCTCGTTCCTTCCTCCCCGCCCCCCCCCCCCGCCCTTCCTCGACCCCGGCCCCTAGCTCACCCGGACAGCGGCGCGGACGGCGCGGCTCTGGGCGCCCGCAGGCCCCGGCCGGGCTGGAATCCGGCGGCTGGAACCCCCCGGGGGCGCTCAATTCCCGGGCTCCACGCTGCTGCGTCAGCGCCTCCTCCTGGGGGCCGGGGCCGGGCGGGCGGAGCGGGGGCCGCGGCCGGGCGGGGCCGTCGGGGGGGCGGGAGCGCCTGGCCGGGGCGGGCGGACGGCGGGGGCCGGACGGGCGGGGCAGGCAGCCGGACGGGCGGGCGGCGGGGGCCGGGCTCCGGGATCCGCTACGCCGCTCGCGGTTCCCCCACAAACTCCCCGAGAGCGGAGCCTCCGCCGCCCTCCTTCCTGCTTCCTCGTCCCCAGCCAATCAGCAGCGCGCCCCTCGGCCAGCTCCGCCAATCAGCCGCCCCGCCCTGCGCTGGCCCTGCCAGCCAATCCGGCCCTCGGCTCCCCCTCCCGGTCTCCGACCAATCAGAACCGTGGGTCGGTCGTCCCAACGCAGGGGGCAGCACGAGGCGGCCGGGGGAGGCGGTGCGGGGAGTGGTGGGGCCTGGGGGGAGGGGTACGGTGCCAAGGGTGGTGGCGGGGGGTGGTTTTCTTTGCCGGCTTCTTGGATTTTTCTCTTCGGCTGCAGAGCCTGAGCCGGTATCCCATGGTGACCCGACCCTGGCGCCCCAATCCCCCAGCTGCTACCCCACCCCCCGAGAAATCTTATCTCGCCCCCGCCCTGGCCGTCACCCCTCTACATCCCCTTTCCCCCTTCTCCTCCTTAGCACCCACTGTAGAAAACTGCGGGCCGAGAAACACCCCACCCTCGCCAGCGGCTGCTGCCCCCAGGGCAAAGCCTCGGGAAGACCAGCCGAAAAATCAAGCGAGGACAACCCCCCTTTCCTGCAGAAAGGGCCCCAGACTCCAGCGAAAGGGCCCCGACTGCTGAGAAGCCCCTCCCGCCCTTGCCTCATCTTTCCGACTTCCCTGCCTGCCACGTCTCCTTTCCTTTCATGCAAGGTCGGTCCTAGCTCGGTAACCCCTCACCCGCATCTCTTTTTCCTCTTTCTCCCCTTCGTCTACCGCCCCCCACTCCAGCTCCTAATTCACCTTTCTCAGAAGCAGAGTGTGGAACCCTCATCCATTCCCAGCTGAGAGCAGAGCCTGGTCTGTGAGTCCTTGACACCCACACACCCTCTTCCACCACCGCGGGCAACATCTGAGCTCTCCGGGGGAGGCGGGAGGGGGCGGGCAGCCTGACAGCCCCGGCTGGCCTCCCTCCCTGGCGTCCCCAAGCCGGGATGGGACCGAGCGTGGACACTTACCTGGCTTCCCCCTAGTCACCGAATGCCGTGGCTCCGTCTCACACCCACAGACGTGCCTTTCCAAGCCCGAGCACGCTCGCGGGGTCAGCGGGGTGGGTGGGCACAGCGGGCTGAGGTCACACGGAGGGGTGGGAGGTCCCTGGGAGGTGCGGGAAGGGGCTGTGTCTCGGGCAGCTTGTGTCGCCAGGGACGGCAGAGGGCTTCACGTCAACAAGCCCTGGCTGTGCACACAGTAGGTTCTTGAGAAATGCTGAGTCCACCCCAGAACAAAGCCTCATTCCCAATTCAGGCGGGGGAGGGGAGGTTTGGGAGGTAAAAGGAGCAGCAGCACAAGGGGTACTGTCAAGTCACCGGGGCGCAGGGAGCAGCCCGGGGGGCTGGGCCGAGGGCACCTCTGGCACAGACAAGCACCCCGAGTGCTGGGGCTGCCCGAGCCTGAGGAGGAAGCCAGCCTCGGAGTGTGGCGACCGGGCTCCTCCTGCACCACATGCTGCCTAGCCTTTCCTAGACCTTGAGACTCCAGCCCGCAGAAAGGCAGCCTTTGAGACAGTCGGCGCTGCTGGCCTCCATGGTGGGGAAATAGCACTCTAAAAGATGGTTTCCCTGTCTGCCTCCAGAGCTGTCAAGGGGGCCCAGACAGTCCAAGCTGTGTTGGGAAACACTTTTAAAGGACATGGTCACCCAGCAGAGGAAGTGTGGGAACGAGAGCTGAAAGCTAAGACCCTGGCACGGAAACTTCTCAAAGGGCCAGGTTCTCCTAGGACAAGTTCCCCCTACTTCTCCTATCTCCCACCCTTAGGGAATGCAGATTCCCCAAACCTATAAAAAAAAGGAGGGCACTAAAGGATTTCTCCCCTCCCTGAGCCTCCCAGGACAAAGATTCCTAGCAGTTCCCCCGGCCACCACCAGGCCAGCCCTACCCCCCACCTCCCAAAATGCCCCTGCTCCCTGTCCCAGTCTGCCTCACGGGCTGATGTCCCCCACCCCTCATCAGAGACTGGTGGTAGAAGGTAACAGCAGCAGTGGCCGCTGGAGCTGAGCGTGCCATTCTGGCAGCCTAGAGCCAGAGCAGAAGAGGGGACAGGGCTTCTGTCAGCAGCCCAGCCTGTGCTGACCTTGGCTTCATGCCCACTCATGGGCAGGGATGGAGGCCAAAAGGGTCAGAAGAGAAACGTACCTAGTCACAGGGAAGGAGACCCGAGTGGCAGGAAGCCCATGCTCGGCCTAGGAAGTGGTTGCAGGGTGAGGTTGGAGGACTGGACTTTCCCCCCAGTATCCAGGAGTGAAGACCCACTGGCTCTGGGAAGGGGGGATGGGGGCAAGAGTCATCTTTATTTGGGGTCCCGGTGGGAGGGAGGCTGAGTGGTCATGAGAGCCCATCCCCGCCTGCCCAGCCTGCCCAGCGGCTGGAGGAGTTCTACTCTGAGCCTCCCCCATGTGGGTGGCTGTCTCTTTTGCCCCAGGAGGCTCTGACTGAGTGGGCTACGGTCACAGGCGGGCTAAAGGCACTTGGTGTTCCTGCTGTGCCAGCCCACTGATCTACCCCAGTTCCCTGCCCCCTTTGTTAAAGCTGCTCAGCAAACCCGCAAAGAAGAGGCCAGGGGCTGCACACCCTGCCTGTTCCCCCAGGGACCTTTTGGCCTCTCCTCTCCTCCCTCACCACACTTGCCAGGACCTCTTCACCTGGGCCTCCTTCCTTCCCAGTCCAGAGCCCTTCCACATGGGGAAGGGCCTCCACCGCTTCCTCTTCTAACCTTCCTTCAGCTCCCCTGACCTTTCTCGAGTGCTGCTCCCACCCCACCCCACCCAGGCACTGGTGCCAACGCCTGGGCCCATCGCCTCTCCTCACCCTGGCACACCCAGCAGCCCAGATGTCCCCCGTTGCAAAGGACTTGCCGCTTGGTCTGGGGACAGGAATGGCTCAGTCAGGTCTCCTGGACCACCTCTCCGTACCTCCAGGCAGGGGGCTCTCTCTCCCCAGACGCCTCCAGACCCATCAGGAAGGGTTAACTGCCTCAGAGCGGGAGAGCAGAGAGAGGGAGATGCAGAGAGGAAAACATCCAGGGCTGAGAGAAAACACGCTGCACACCCCTCCCCCACCGTGCGCGACCAGACTGACAGCCGGGACAGACTGGCTGCTCGGTCATCTCCAGTCCCGCCGCCCGGCACCTCCCCCACCGCCCGCCGCAGTCCCTGCAGACCGCCTGCCCTCGGTTCCAGCTACCTGGCACTGGGCAGGGCACCTCAGCAGGGCAGCGAAGTCCTTGCAGTGATGGCAGCACCCACTTGCCCCTTCCTCCATTCCACGCCCTGGTCCCCTCTCTCCTGGGAGTGGGGCAGCGGCTCCCCTGCCCCCTAAAGTGCCTGAACTTTAGGTCCCGGGAACACTTACTGAGCCACCTGGCCCCTCAGCCCCAATGGACTAACTGGAGGGCACAGCTCCTGGGGGGAGGGACACCAGGGCACCAATTAAATTTGGCTGCAGCACTTGCCCCCTCCCCCCAGCATAGGAACCCCCCGGGGGGGGGGATAAAGAAAGCTGGACTTTTATAGTCCTTTTATCTGACCCACTCCCTCTTAAAGGGATCGGAACCCTCTCCTTAAAGGGATCTCCTGAAATTATTTGCCCCCAAGCAAATCCAAGTGCAAGCGTCTGTTTGGTCTTTACCTGCTGGGGCCCCTTTCCCTAGAGATGGGGAGGCAGAAGTGCTCTCCGTGTGACTCTGAACTGGAAGGGCAAGGTCCCCTCCTGCCACCAAGGAGCCAGCTGCTGAGTGCCCAGCAGAGAACAGGACCCCTCTCTCCTGTAATGGCACTCACTGCCACAGCCTGGGGGAGGGCCGGAAGGTCAAGGTGAGGTGGGAGCCTATGTGGGCCCAGTCTCTTGTAAGATGGAACAAGGGGGGCTATGTGCGCTCAGACTTTGGGGAACACATGTCCATGGTGCTGTGTCCAAAACCCCCATCTGTCCAGTGCAAGCCTCCAGATTGCTGGCAGGGGAAGTCTTAGCAGGCTGCCTCGCCCCGAAAAAGCTGCATTCTCCTTTCCTCTCTCCCAACTCCTGACTCTTACCCTCTTTGGGGCCCCTGGCCTTCCCCTTGGGGTGCCCTCTCTGCCCCTTATCCAAGTTGCCTCTACAACAGCCCCCAAAACTGCAGACTACATCCCATTTCACGCTCTTTCCTGCCCTAGGGCTCGTCCCTGGGGTCCGTCTCACCCCCTGAGCCCTCCCCCCACCAGCCAAGGGGGTGGGGGATGGGCACACCTCGGCTCCCCGGAGCCCAGCAGAGCTGCATCCTCTCCCTCCTGCTTACTCGGCACCTAGTCTCACCCAGCCCTTGGGGCTTCAGGGTTCGAGGAAGGGTGGGTGTGAACGGGGGGCAGAAGGGTCGGAGGGCACTCAGACCGACAGCGGGACAGAGTCGGAAGCAGACACTCATTGAAGCACCCTTTTGCCCCTCCTCCCTTCGCCCGTGGAGGGTCGAGGCTGCCAAGGGAGGGCTTCCCCAGGCGCTTGGGAACTCGCCAAGGCCCCCACGGCTGCCACTCCCTAAAGGAGAGGCTCCCCCCAAGGGCTGGAGCTCGGCGGCCTTCCCCCCACCCCCCCACCCCCCCCTCCGGCAGCTGCTGCAGCCTCCGGCTGAGGTCAGGCTCCACCTCCTTTCTCCGGAGGGAGAGCGCGAGGGTTGTTTGTTGTTGGGGTGTGAGAGGGAGAAGGTTCGAGATCACCTGGCTGGGTGGGCACTGGCTCTGCGAGCGGGAGCGGGACCGGGTGGGCTGGCTTCGGCAGGAGCCTCCTGCGGTGGGTGAAATGCTAATCTCACCCTACCCCCCCACCCCCACCCCGCGGGTTCTGAGAAATCAGCCCCGTCCACTGCACTAGTTCTTCCATCCAGCCGCCCACTGGCCCGTGCCCCCGCCCTGCTATCCGTCCCTTCCGTAGTGGCTGAGTGTCCCCGGCAAAAGGGCAAGCCCTTGGGTTACCGCGAGGAACAAGGCTGTTCCTGCTCTCAAGAAGCTTCCAGTCGG